GGAGCTCACAGAGAAGGGATGGATACGGCCTAGTACCTCCCCTTACGGTGCGCCAGTCTTATTTGTTCCTAAGAAGGGAGGTCCATTAAGGATGTCCATTGACTATAGGGGCCTCAATGCCATCACCGTTAAGAACGCGGAGCCCCTACCCCGCATTGACGACCTCTTGGATAGAGTGCAGGGATGTCGGTACTTCACAAAGATAGATCTGAAGTCCGAATACCATCAAATTGCCGTTAGGCCTGAGGACCAACACAAAACCGCATTTTAGACCAGGTACAGTCTGTACGAGTTTGTGGTGATGCCTTTTGGCCTATGCAATGAGCCTGGTACGTTCCAGCACGCGATGAATAGGATCTTTCATGACTACTTGGACAAGTTTATCGTCGTGTACCTCGACGATATTCTCATCTTTAGTAGGACTGTAGAGGAGCATGATGAGCACTTGAAAACAGTGCTAGGCCTCCTAAGACAGCACCAGTACAAGGTAAACTTGGATAAATGCGAGTTTGGTCGCACCAAGATCTTGTACTTGGGTCATGAAATTTCAGCAGATGGATTGAGGCCAGAAGATGCGAAAGTGGCCAGCATACGTGATTGGCCCAGACCTCAAACTGTTACTGAGGTAAGATCGTTTTTGGGGATGACGGGCTATTATCGTCCGTTTGTGAAGAACTATAGTACTATAGCTTCCCCATTAACAGATCTAACTCGACTTGACACCCCTTGGGAGTGGACTGAAGAGTGTGAAGCAAGCTTCAAGAAATTGAAGTATGATCTGACGCACTATGAAGTCCTCAAACTTCTTGATCCTGACAAGCCGTTTGTTGTGACCACAGACACCAGCCAATATGGCATAGGCGCGGTCCTTGCGCAACAGGAAGGGCCCAAGTTGAGACCGATCGAGTATATGAGCAAGAAGATGCCATCTCAGAAGTTGGCTAAGTCCACTTATGAGAGAGAGCTCTACGCCCTGTACCGAGCGCTAGTTCATTAGAGACACTACCTCCTAGGAAGGTTCTTCTATGTGAGATCTGACCATGAGACTTTGCGCTGGATTAAGACACAACCAGTCTTGTCGGACGCACTCAAGAGATGGATTCAAGTGATAGACATGTATGACTATCAACTTGATCCTATCAAGGGTACGTACAACAAAATGGTTGATGCGCTATCAAGAAGGGCAGATTATCTGGGCGCGCTAGTAACTGAGTTTGGCATATCTAATGACCTCACTCTATCGTTGGTGGAAGCCTATCAGGGAGACCCAGTCATGTCAGAGATCATTCGTAGATTCAAGGCAAAGGATAAAAAGACTTTGGACGAATTTACGATGGTAGACGACTTGTTGTTCCTTGATAAGGCAGGGAATAAAAGACTATGTGTTGCTAATAGCGAGTCTTTGCGTAGTTTATTCTTAGGAGAATATCACGATGCAACTGGTCATTTTGGTTATAGAAAGACATCAGCAAACTTAGTGCAAAGATTTTGGTGGCCTTCTATGTTAGAAGATGCGAAACGTTATGTGGAAACCTGCCAGGTTTGTCAAAGAGATAAACCAAGGACTTAGTCTCCGCTTGGGTTAATCAAACCCTTGCCGATCCCTGAAGGACCAGGTCAGAGTGTGTCCATGGATTTCATGGATACTCTTGTGACCAGCAGGACAGGGAAGAGACACATCTTTGCCATAGTGGACCGTTTTACCAAGTACGCTAGACTAATCGCTATGCCTGAAACTGCTAAAACTGACCTCGTCATCAATTTATGGATAATTGGGTAAGGGACTTCGGTCTACCTACATCTATTATTAGTGATAGGGATGTAAGATTTACAAGTGAGCTGTGGCAGTCCGCTGCTGAGCAAATGGGCACAAAGCTCCAAATGACGTCAAGGAATCACCTTGAATCAAATGGCCACGCAGAACAGATGAACCGGGTAGTGCAGCACCTGCTTAGGGATTATATAAAGCCAAGTCAGGATGACTGGGACGAGAAGTTACCTCTCTTCGCCAGCCTGTACAACAATGTTGTGCACAGCACCACCGGTATGACTCCCAACCAGTTACATCTTGGTTGGAAGCCCAGATCTGCGCTTGACTTTCTGTTACCAGAAAGACAACCCACTGCAGCACCTGGCAGCATAGAGTTTGCTGTCAAGTATGAACAGATGCTGCAGCAGGCCGTAGAACACATTCAGAAGTCTCAAGATGCTATGATTGCATATGAGAACAAACATAGACGGCCTTCTAACTTTCAGGTAGGTGAGAGAGTCTGGGTAAAATCATCTGAACTGGGACAAGAGATAGGGATCTCAAGAAAGATGATGCCTCAGTACTTCGGGCCCTGGGAGATCTTAGATATTGTCGGAGATCAAACTGATGGGCCTTCATACGTGATTCGCATCCCTGCACACCTACGGACTTATCCTGTTTTCCATGCCTCCAAGCTGGCACCTTTTGCTGCCACAAATCTGTTTCCCTCTCGGAGATCTATGCTGCCCCCAAGCATGGATGGTGAAGTGGACATTGACCAGATCGTCGAGTATCGAATGATGCCTGTTCCTCGACCATCAGGCAGAGGGCGACCTCCTAAACCAAGAATGCAGTATCGGGTGAGCTTCAGACATCACCTCGATCCCARGGAAGATCGCTGGTTCACACGAGAAGAACTCATGAGAACAGCACCTCAAGTGATTGCAGGCTATGAAAGAGAAAGGAAAGGGAAGATGCCTGCAGAATAAGAAGACTTCTCAGGGGACTCACGAAGTTGAGGAGGAGGGAATGCGAGGATCAGGGTCCTCGGTAGGCCTATGGGGCCCTGTCTGCAGCCTTACCCGCCCTAAGTGAAGGCGGGCCTGGCTTTTTGCAAAAGGCCTTCGACTGTCAATTTCATATTTGGGGTT